TATCCAGTGTGACCTTCAAAAAGCTAGGTTCATACCCTTAGGTCAAAAAGACATGACAATAGAAAACTCTTTAGAGAATCTGTTTTGTCATTAGGTGTACACACCAGATCGTCTGAATGCAATATGGTATAGGAATCCTAAAGTGCTGTTTTCTGAGTTATAAGAACTTCCTGAGCCATACAACAGATATGGCAAACGCTAGTATTGGCCCAGTGGCCTAATGGATAAGGAATCAGCCTTCAAAGCTAGGGATTGTGGGTTTAAGTCCCATTTGGGTTGTGTTTGTTGGGTTGCATATCAATTGTATAGAAAAAATCCTGACATGTCTCCTCAAAGCTTTTGCGTGATGATCTAAGGTCAACAGTTCGCTTCAAATTCTCAGACTTGCTGCACACTTCAATTAAGATTCATCAAATCTTGCTTGAATTATCCAATCACGTTACGCTCTGGTAATGGAGATCTTGACTTCAAGTACCCGGTGGCTTTCAAATAATGGTCTCATGTTAGGTGGATGATGATGAAATGCAAACAAGAAAATAGCTGCAGAAAAGTTGTGATTTCATGTTAATAAGAGTGGCCTCGTCTGGAATTTGAAACTCAAGACCAGTCTCAAACCATACCCCAGGACCAATGAGACACGAATGTGGATGATTACACAAAGAAAATGTTTGTCCATTAGTTGCAAACATCTTATTTGATGGAATGCAAACTGGCATCGAGATCCCAAAATGCAGTTTTCCATGCGTTGGCATCTTGTTGAGGGCATACAAGAGCTCCATGACAAAAACTTGGTAACATGGCCCAGTGACCTAAAGGATAGGGCATCAGCCTCTTGAGTTGGGCATTGTGGGTTCAAGTCCCATCTGGGTTGTCTCTGAAGGTCTCACTTCAAGTTGGGAGCAATGTTTGTTGGATGAAACACAGTAGCTGTGAAAACCTTCTAGAGATGTGTTTGCGTGTCATTAACTTCCTTCGTTGTCATCCTTATTACAACCATCCATAAACAAATCTAACAACAGAATCATTGCCGCTACTTTCTTTCAAATCAACTCACTTACATTGTCACATCATCAGCAGCACGTGTGCTATGATGAGTGAAAAGCTTAGGTGCTGGCTCCAGACAGCACAAAATACAGAGTAATACAGTGCAAATACAACAACAGTACAAAATACAGACAGTGCAAATGAAATGACAGTGCGAAATACAGACAGTGCAAATACAACGACAATGTGAAATTGACAGCGATGTGTACAATGAATAGATGTCCACATAGTCGTAGGCAGTATTGTTTCAAGTATGGATTTTTTAAAGTGCAGTGCATGCTACATATTGATGGTGTGCAGTGTGGGTATGGTAGAATCGGTGTGTGGTGTGTTAAGTGTTCATCAGCCTGATAGTCGGAGGGAAGAAACTTTCCTTCAGCCAGCAGGTACGTGACTGGATGCGGCAGAACCATCTGCCTGAGGGTAGCAAACGATTTTGTCGGTATAATTGTACATGTTCGACTAATTTAGATTAGAAGTAGATTGTGGGTTCAAGTCCCACCTGGGTGTTCTTTGATGCAGTTCCTTTTAAGTTGGCTGTGCAGTGCAATCCAGTGTGACCTTCAAAAAGCTAGGTTCATACCCTTAAGTCAAAAAAACATGAAAATGGAAAACTCTTCAGAGAAGCTATTTTTTCATTAGGTGTACACACCAGGTCGTCTGAAAGCAATAGGGATCCTAAAGTGCTGCTTTCGGAGTTACAAGAACTTCATGAGTCATACAACAGATATAACAAATGCTAGTATTGGCCCAGTGGCCTAATGGATAAGACATCACCATTAGAAGCTGGGGATTGTGGATTCAAGTCCTTTTTGGGTTGTGTTTGTTGGGTTACATTTAAGTTGTGCGAAAAAATCCTGGCTTGTGTACTCAAATCTTAGGTGTGATGATCTGAGGACAATGGTTAGCTTCGAATTCTCAGACTTGCTGCACACTTCAATTAAGATTCATCCAATCTTGCTCGAGTCTCACTGTCACATTACAAACCTTAAAGGTTCTGCTAAGCTCTAGTAATGGAGATCTCAACTAACAAACTCATGTTAGGTGAATGTTAATGAAATGCAAACAAGAAAATAGCTGCAGAAAGGTTGTGATTTCAAGTTAATGAGAGTGGCCTTGAATGGAATTTGAAACTCTCAAGACCAGTCGCACTATACGCTAGAACCATCTCCCAGGACCGATGAGACAGGAATATGAATGATTGCAGAAAGAAAATGTTTGTCCATTAGTTCTTATTTGACGGGATGCAAACTGGCATCGAGATCCTAAAGTGCAGTTTTCCATGCGGTGGCATCTTGTTGAAGTCATACAAGAGATCCTTGATAATAGATTGGTGATGTGGCCCAGTGGCCTAATGGATAAGGCATCAGCCTCCGGAGCTGGGGATTGTGGGTTCAAGTCCCACATGGGTTGTTCTTGAAAATCTCCCTTCAACTTGGGATCAGTGATTGGTGGATAAAACACAGTAGCTGTGAAAACCTTCTTAAGATGTGTTTGCATGTCATTAACTTCCTTCATTGTCATCCATATTACCTGTTATGACTAAAAGGGTAACGAAATACCTAACGCGAATGGCCATTTTGAATCCTGCATGGTGCCTACAGAGTAGAGACAAACACAAAAATGGTGCTTACTTTTAAGCTGGTGCGTTGTTCAAGATCCATAAACAAATCTAACAACCGAATCATTGCCACTGCTTTTTGTCTGTATAATTGTACAGGTTAGACTAATTCAGATCAGAAATTCACTAAATGTTCATTAACTAAAGTCACAGCAAATGTGCTACAAGTAACATAGAAACACCAAAGCACCACTGTTTTTTGTGACAGATGTAGGGCTCTTCCAGAATTTGAACCCCAGACCTCTCGCATCGTAAGCGAGAATCATAACCCTAGACCAACGAGCCCTGAGGAAATGCCTTGCAGTGCCAAAAAATAAATTCTGTGAAACCGGTCCAATCTACTTTTTGTTCATGTTGTTTTTGTTACGTGCGTCAGCAACTCCCTGGATGCATATTACTGTTCACAGGCAGTAAAAAACGGCCCAGTTGCCCAATGGATAAGGCACCAGCCTTCAAAGCTGGGGATTGTGGGTTCAAGTCCCATCTGGGTTGTCTTTGATTCAGTTGCTTTTAAGTTGACTGTGCAGCACAATCCAGTGTGACCTTCAAAAAGCTAGGTTCATACCTTTAGGTCAAAAAGACATGACAATGGAAAACTCTTCAGAGAAGCTGTTTTGTCATTGGGTGTACACACCAGATCGTCTGGAAGCAATAGGAATCCTAAAGTGCTGTTTTCTGAGTTACAAGAACTTCCTGAGTCATATAACAATTATAGCAAATGCTAGTAGTGGCCTAATGGATAAGGCACCCTTCGAAGCAGGGGATTGTGGAATCAAGTCCTGTTTGGTTTGTTTGTTGGGTTACATTTAAGTTGTGTGAAAAAATCCAGGCTTGTCTACTCAAAGCTTAGGTGTGATGATCTGAGGACAATAGCTTCGAATTCTCAGACTTGCTGCACACTTCAATTAAGATTCATCCATTCTTGCTTGAATCTCACTGTCACGTTACAAACCTAAAAGGTTCCGCTAAGCTCTAGTAATGGAGATCTTGATTTCAAGTACCCCATGGCTCTTAACTAACGGTCTCATGTTAGGTGGATGATGATGAAATGCAAACAAGAAAATAGCTGCAGAAAGGTTGTGATTTCAAGTTAATGAGAGTGGCCTTGACTGGAATTTGAAACTCTCAAGACCAGTCGCACTATACGCTAGAACCATACCCCAGGACCGATGAGACAAGAATGTGAATGATAGCAGAAATAAAATGTTTGTACTATTAGTGACGTGGCCCAGTGGCCTAATGGACAAGGCATCAGCCTCCGGAGCTGGGGATTGTGGGTTCAAGTCCCACCTGGGTTGTTTTTGAAGGTCTCACTTCAACTTGGGATGGTTGTTGGATAAAACACAGTAGCTGTGAAAACCTTCTTGAGATGTGTTTGTGTTAGGGTTGTGACGGTGAGGAAATTTCCCCACCGGTTAATCGACACGTGACAACACCGGTTATACCGGTATCACCGTGGGAGTGGGCGTTTCTTCATTTCCTCTTTTTTCTGCTTTTAAATAGCTTATAAATGCGTGCATATAATACTTTCACTTTCAGTTTTGCGGGAATTGCCAATTTGGGGTCAATTGTTTGAATGGACGAAAAGGAAATTACAAAAAAAAAATCCCTGTTATTAAACAAAACATAACTTTTATAAACAAAACGAATAAAACACAACAATGCTACAGGCTGAAAAAAACGTGGAAGTTGGAACCACACAAATAACAACCATAAACGCCTATGTTATATATTAACAGCTTAGTCCTTATGAACAATCCGTTTATAAAATACATAACGAATCTATAGGCTATTGAAGAATAAACCGAATATGAAATATGATCCTTGCATAATGATCACAACTAAACAAGCGAGCACTCATTTTATATATAAACTATATAAAAAATGTTAACAATTGGAACATTATGTAAAAAATCTAAAGACTACAGGCTAAATAAAAGCGCCTCGTCAGAGCTAAACATTACCGCACGTGTCAGTTTACAGCTTCTGGAAAGATCAGACAACCTATACAGATCACACAATCTCAATAAACAACATGTAAATGTATAAATATTTTGATAAGTATTGTTATGGAATATTTATAACTATATGATCTTGCTTTTTGGTTAAATCGATACAGCTTTGATCTCTCTTACAAGCCGCAGTTACCTAGTATGGGTAACTGCAGCCTGGAGAAATGGGCGTGGCACAAGGTTGGGGCGTGGCAAAAGGTTTTTCATTGGTCAAAATTTTTTCCGGTAGGGGCGAGGCAAAAGGTTTTTTATTGGTCAGGTTTTCTTTTCCGTCAAATGTTTTGGCCAATCAGCAATCACCAAACGCTTGCACAATAGCGTCGGTAAAGACGTGATGTTGACTGCTGTAAACAGACGTGTATTAAGATTTACGATTTAAACAGGTTGGTAATATGTTTAGGTGTCTGTTTTGTGTGAATATTTTGAGAGCCTTACACATGATACACACTCAGCTGCAAAGTCCCAAACCTCGCACAGTTTATCACGAACGTAAGCTCTAGTTATTTTGCGGTATGCATTTTAATATATTTTGTTTGGGTCATATGTGATGACGTGAACAGCAATCTCTCATAGAAATCTGACACTTGCCAATGTGTACGTGCAAATTAGCCTTATATATAACATTCATGTTTATTTTACATCTAACACTTGTCATTTATGAACATGCATTTAGAAATATAACAAATATGTTCACTTAGAGAAAAAAAAGTCCACTAAAATCATAGTATAAAATATAGGCTAGCTAGGAACATGCATGTACTTATTTGTAATTCCAATGGTTGAAAACATAAGTGGACTTTTTTGCAACATTTCACAATATTTGTTGCATATATGACACATTTTATGCAAATAAAATTCAAATATAAATTTGTATGTCAAGTAATTTCATAATTTTCATCTATGCATAAGGGATGTTACTTTTTTGTTACATTTGAAACTTCTTATTTTAAACATGCTTTACTTAAAATTATTTTAATACATGACTTTTTTATGATGATTCTTGCAGATTTATAATTTATATTTGTTTACATGTTTATATACATTTTATAACATTACCCAGGACATTCCAATGTAGTGTTTCTCCAATAACTGTGAAGTCTTTGCTCATGGTAAGTTTTACAATGTACAATGACAACTGCATAATTTTAGAACTAAACATCTTTTACTTTTAGCCTTGTACATTGCTCCTGAGGTTGGGTTTGACTATTCTGAGGTGAGTCTTTGCTCAACACTTTGTTAGCCAGTATGAAAGAAGAATTTTTCTATCTTTTTAGTAATTGTCTTTTTATTTAAAACAGGCTATATGACTTGCATAAGGAGATTGTGGTGTGGGTTCTTGCTTGAAGACTCAGGGTAAATAAAAAAATATTTTTATACATTTAAAGTGATGTCAGTTAGCACTTTGCAATTAATTTTTGTGTTCCCTCAAGGTCTCCTTAAGAAGGAAAAAGACCCAGAAATGTATAGAGCTTATCTTGCGCATCTGTAAGTTTAATGCAAATATATCAAGTTAACAAGTTGGTATTTATATATATATATATATATATATATATATATATATATATATATATATATATATATATATATATATATATATATATGTATGTATATACACACACACACACACACACACACTGGCCACTTTATTAAGTACACCTTACTACAGAGGTGTCAAGGTCATTTCTTGGAGGACCGCAGCTCTTCACAGTTTTGCTCCAACCCTAATCTAACACATCTGATCCAAATAATCAAGGTGATCAAGACTCTTTTGAATGCCTCGATTATTTAGAGTAGATTTATTTGATTACAGTTGGAGCAAAACTGTGCAGAGCTGCGGTCCTCCAAGAAATGACTTTGACACCTATGCCTTACTAGTATCGGGTTGGACCCCATTTGCCTTCAGAACTGCCATAATCCTTCGTGGCATAGATTCAACAAGGTACTGAAAAATTTCTTAGAGATTTTGGTCCATATTTACATGATAGCATCACGCAAGTTTCTGCAGAATCTCCTGTTCCACCACATCCCAAAGGTGTTGGAATCGATATCTGACTATATATATATATATATATATATATATATATATATATATATATATATATATATATATATATATATATAACTGTATGTGAGCATTACAATATTTAAAATGTCTCTAACACTGATTTTCAATTTACAACTACCAATGTAGCAGAAATCACTTTTTTAAAGTAAATTTTTCCACTAGATGGCAGCACAATACCATTTATTGTGGATTGCTGCACTTGTAGGCTTGTTTTTTATTCTTAGTTTAAAGACACTGAAATTGCAGTGCAATCAAATTTGCTAATTATTTAATCAAACTTACAACCTAATTAATTTACACATTATACTTTCCCAGTTATTACATTCCATCATAGTTGTGCTTTAGTGTCATCCTAAATGATGGGACTTAAATAGCACAAGTGTCATAAAGGCTCTTAAATGCTTAAAACCTGCAATCAGCTTGTGTTTGTAATTATCAAATATATGTGTGTATGTGTATATACATACACATTTCATTTTATATTTACAAAATATGTATACATGCATTTCCCTTCAGCTATGGATCCCAGAGAAGGTCTTAGTGATGTATGTTTAAATTTATTCAATTTATTTTATAGTTTTTTTTTTTTTTCATTTTTACATCCGTCATTTATTATTTTGTGTGTGTGTGTGTGTGTGTGTGTATTTCGTCTTTAATTCAGCTACAATCAGACCTGTTCTGAAAGGTTCTTTTAGATGTTTATGATGAAGGGGATGGAGCATTCCTCACTGTTACTTGGTCAAATATAGAGTGGAGTTCAAGCTCTCCAGATGTAAATCCTGTGGTTGGCTCTACATAAACACCATTGGATACTGTGGCAATGGGAGGAAAAGGGATGTACAGAGCATTCAGACAAGAGTTTAATGGCTTCTGCTCTATGCACTGCTACTACACGATGAATGGATGGATTTGTTCTTAATGGATTGTCATGAACTGAGGGATGTATGGATTTTTAGTCAGTGGAAGGCATGTTTTTTTTTGAGATTGTTTTATTTGGTTTTTGATAATTAAACTGAAATGTTTAATGAACTTGTGTCTGTGTTCTAATTAAACTGATTAATATCACTTAACATAAGTTTATTAATGAGTAAACTTTGTTATAAATCTGTGATATTTAAACAATATATATTTACCTGGCATAAAATGTATTTTCAAAATGTTTTTAATTTAAATTATTTTAGGCAATAATTTCAGTGACACTGGGTCACAGTTTAAAATGGTATTGAATAAAACGCTTTTCTAAGTAGTTCATTTATAAATAGCTAGTAAAAAGAACCAAAACATATAATTTGTCTATTGATATTTAAGCATATGTATCCTTAAGAATGCTGATTTACCAACTATTTTAATGAATCTTGTGATTACATTTAATTCATTCTTTATTTTTAACACCAGTAGCATAAAGTAGAATGATCCAAACAAGCAGCTTAAGTAATATATTATTCTAATTGGCCAACGCATTTGACCGGAAATAAAACCTTTGACCAATGAAAAACATTTTTGCCACGCCCCACCAGAAAAACCTTCGACCAATGAAAAACCTTTTGCCACGCCCATTTCTCCAGGCTGCAGTTACTCCCTACTCGTTTCAAGTGCAGAGATGCATTCAGCATGAATGTCTCCCGAATCCCGAATGAATGTGGTGAACATTTTGCACAGTAAAAACTGGTTGCAAACAACACATTCATGCACTCGCAAAAATACATAAACTGTATTTTCTTTATATGAAATATGTTTTAAATGTATTGTCTTTGTTCATGTTGGTAAATACATTAACTAACACTTACTAATACAACCTTATTGTAAAGTGTTACCATCTTCAGAAAGACAGATAATAACTAACTTATTTACTAAACTATGTTTCAACCAACACAGTCTCCAAAATACAATTCTGTTTACAAAATACACATTTTTAAAGTGGCTGCAGTAAAAAAAAAAAAAAAAAAAATCATAAAACATCACCCACAGCTAAGGACCACAAATAAAATACATTACATCTGTTTAAGGTTTTATAGGTTGAGAGAAACACTAGAGGTAAAAGCTGGCACTGGGTACAAATAAATAAGTGTAACCTAGCTAGAAATTTTACGTTCCCAGAATGTTCTTAGAACGTCCCCGTCTGTGTTAAGGACGTTCTGAGAATGTCACAATGTTGAGTTCTTTAAAGGTTTGGTGGACGTTATTTGGGGGGCCTTTACAGAACATTCAGAACGTTCTCAGAATGTTTAGGGGATCATACTTTTTTTGGAAATTGTGACGTTCTCAGAACATTCTCATAATGTCCCCAGCGGTGTTAAGGACGTTGTTTAGTAACATTACCAGAACGTTAGGAGAAAGTCACGATGTTGAGTTCTTTAAAGATGTAGGGGACGTTATTTGGGGGACCTTTACAGCACATTCAGAATGTTCTCAGAATGTGAAAGTATGTACTAATGTTCCTGCTGAAAAAAAAAACTGCTTAAAACCTTCTAAACTGGTTGACTGGTTTAAGCTGTTTTTTCCACAAGGGGTTTTAATTCGTTTTTGACAGTACAGTGGATATTTTAGGCTATATACTACACTACCTCCTATTAAACGTTGACAAAAAATATTGTCATTAAAAGCTTAAACTTTTATAAACAAAAGCTCAGTACGTTACCCTAACGCTAGCGTTACCTATGTTAAGGCGCTAACGGACTTTTTCCAGACTCTAAAATCATCAGAGTAAAATTTACTCTGTTCAGAGAATATTTGGTCCCTCTCTAAATTGAGCAAAATTTACTCAGCAGCAGAGTTAAAGTTAACAAGACAATGATGGGTTTAATTAAGTGATGATTGAGCACTGATGATGAACACCTGCTGTTAATAAGCAGAGAAGAGAAACACAAAACTACATCTACCTTCAGTCACAACCGTACATAAAATAAATTAAATAAAACACATCAAATCTTTTAAAATCTCAGCAGAGCATCATTAAGCAGCTCCACAAACAGCAGCTTTACTTATTAACAACCTGTTTGGCCTTACTTCTGCCACACTCTACAAAATTACATATAGTGATAATATTAAGAATTAATGAAGTAATTTTTTACAACAACGATAAAAAAAAAAACTTGCGTTTAGGCTGTCACCATTGAGGAGAACAGTAGTTACTTTACTTGGACTCTTGACTCGATTTCTAATGTTAGTTTCTCTTTGCTTACCATATTGTGTTTAATGGTAAACATTTGATAAAGAGAGCAATTATGCTCTGGATAATTGACTCTGTGGTGGTTTAGTCACTGGTCAAATCAGTAAAATTGGTTTTTATCTATTAGAATTAAAAAACGTTGTATCACAAGAGAAGCACTGTATTGAGAAAACTGAACTCACTAATACTTTTTTCAGATCATAAAACACATTGAACATCTGAAACACCGAAAACACACAGACATAAAGAATCAGAGTATGCTTCTCAACTATGGTGAGTTTTTTTTTCCTACAGTGCATGCTGGGAACTATGGATGAATGTTGTATGATTCTCTTACCATGCACTGCAGCCAAAAATAAATAAAACTCTAACCACTGTTGAGATAGATAAGCTGATTATTGATGTCTGTGTCTCGAAATTGATTCAGATGCTCAATGTGTTTCAATAAATATAAAACCACAGCTGAGGTCCATTCTCCTGATAAACACTGAATTTTGTTTCTTATGTGATAAACCATCATTTAAACATAACTTGCAAAGTCAAACATAATCTCTCATACAGTTACTCTTGTTAAGAGTAAAAAGCAATACAGGATCAGTCAACTTTATCACATTTGCTCTCATTATACTTGTATTAACAAGCAAAGAAAAATTAACATTAGAAATCGAGTCCAAGTAAACCAACTACTTTTCTCCACAATGGTGACATCAGGGGGGAAAAAACATATATTTATTTTTTTGTAAAATGTAAAGAACTAAAACCGTTAATTCTCAATAAATCTCATGGACATTTGTGAACATCTGACAGAAATAAAGTCAATCAGGTAAGCAAGGAGCAAACAGCAGGTGTTCATCATCAGTGCTCAATCATCACTTAATTAACCCCATCATTGTCTTATTAACTTTAACTGCTGCTGAGTAAATTTTGCTCAATTTAGAGAGGGACCAAATATTCTCTGAACTGATTCTTGAGCACGATGAACATTGAAGACTTGTTTTACACGTTTGCTTTTGAATTTTGAGACCACAAGCACTAGCTATTAGAATCAGTGCTGCGGGAGTGCTCTTTGTAACGTTATTATGTGACCATAGAATGACCAAAACAGAACGTCCTCCTTAAGTCATATTGGAAACGTTATTATATGACTAAAGGAGGACCATGTGAAAACGTTCTGTTAAAGATAGAAAGTTTCTCTTTGTAACGTTATTATGTGACCATTGCAGGACCAAAACAGAACGCCCTCCTCATGTCATACTGGAAACGTTATTATATGACTAAAGGA